CAACGGTCACTCTGGGATCAGGAATGGAACAGTATTGTCTTTAGTGACGAGTCTCGATTTTGTTTAGGCATGCACGATGGTCGTGCCAGGGTTAGAAGGCGACGTGGTGAAATGAGGAATCCACAGTTTTTTGTTGAAAGACATGTTCATCACACTGTTGGAGTTATGGTTTGGGGTGCTATAGCTTATGGTTCCAGGTCACCTTTAATCTTCATCAGAGGTAACATGAACGCGCAGCGTTATATCCACGAAGTTCTAGAACCCCATCTTTTACCCTATCTTGACACCCAGGCAGATCCAACTTTCCAACAAGGTAATGCCCGACCACATGTTGCAAGAGTCACAATAGACTTCTTTCAACATAATGATGTCACATTGTTACCATGGCCACCAAGATCTCCCGACTTATCCCCAATTGAGCACGTGTGGGATATGATGGGTAGGAGATTGCTCAATTTGCAACGTCCTCCTCAGACTCTAGAAGCACTTCGAGAGGAGTTGGTGGTTGCCTGGAATGAGATACCACACTAGGACATTGACCACCTGATCAGAAGCATGCCTAGGCGCGTTGGAGAATGCGTAGCACATCAGGGTACATCCACACATTATTAAAGGTCAAAGCAGTGCAATCATTTTGAAATTTTTATCATTTACTTATTATGCTTCATTAAGTACTTATACAAAATTTTATTAAAATAAAACCATTTAAACTGGGTGTTCGGATTTATATGTCACTTAGTATATTATTTTCTTCAATTGATATGCAATTTTACTGATTTAACATCACCTCCCGGGTTTTTTTTCCTATAAACCTCTTGCAGATAGCCATTAAGCACCTACTTGATGACAGGTTCTACCAAAAAGTTCATAGATATGGCTCGTTTCCAAACATTCATTCATTTACTTGCCGTTCATCAGAACCATTATGGCATCTTAGATTGATATTCCCGCAAAACCGTTCAGGTCTTTTGATATCCAAACATCCATAAAGTTGAATATTTTTCGTGGTTCAGGAACTGAACAAACATCCACACTAAATTTATAAATTCGGATAAAATTACATAATGTCAAAGTAGCAAATTTTTACTGCACGCCACTGGAGGCAATAACGTTCGATGAGTGCTTCAATCTCTTCTTGGGCGCAAACAATTCCACTTTATGCAGAAGCATGAGAAAAAATACCCATTCTCAAGAAAAACCCCAAAAGGGTCCCTTTTTAGGGCTAAATATAACACTTTTTTAAAATTCGATAATCTGAGTTATATCCAACATTCGAAAAATTTAAGATATCACTTTTTAGGATAGTCCAAAGATCAAAAAGATGCGTAGAAAAATGTCTAAGATCAAAAATTGAGAATCTGACATAGCCCCAAACTATGCTAAAAAAATCTGAGTTCTTTTGCTCACACTGTATAAGTGGATAAATGAAAGAAATATACCAGTCGAATTCTTCCAATAATCGTATACAATTCTCTCGTTTTATTTTGAAAAAGACGAAGCATTGCTGAGAAAATAAAATTATACTGTCAAGCCTAGAATCAATATCAATGTTACTTAGCAATTGCATGTTTGAGGTGTAGGTAGGATGGGCCTACTTTAGAAAAAAATTGAGATATCACTTTTTAGGATTGTCCAAAGATCAAAACTATTCATAGAAAAATTTCTAAGATCAAAAATTGAGAATCTGGCATAGCCCCAAACTTTGCTAAAAAAAAACTTCCCTTGCTCACCCTGTATTAGTGAACAGATAAAAGAAATATACCGGTCGGTACCCTGTACGTGTTCTCAAAGAGCTGGTCAAGAACCTGGTGAATACCGCAACTCGATATGTCTTTCCGTTCAGAAAATATCCAGATTTGAATTTGGTTAAAATTGTCCATGTTGCAAAGCAGCATAATATTTAGATATCAGATAGATATCTAGTACACTACGACGCAGAAATCATACTTACTAAACGAGACAGTCAGATGTAGTATAGCAGACACGAAATCGCCGAACCTAAGCGTGCCATCCTTCCTCATGTACCTCAGAATGAGGGTAGCCAAGACGTCGCTACTCAACTGGAATCCGACTTCGAGCAGCGCGTCTCGCAATCTTTCAGCCTTCAAAATGCCTGTCTTCTCCTTGGTGTGGTTTTTGAAAGCCGTCTGCCAAGACTTCAGACTGCACATTAGGTCCTTGAAGTCGTTGAATTTGAGACGGCCTGTGTTTGAACTCTAGAAGTGTAAAGTAATAGAATAAATAGAGCGTTTCGAAAAAGTCAAAGAAACGTGGAACTTCTTCTCTGAAAGACAGTAGTTTTATATGCTAGCGTCCTGATATTCTGCCTTGTCTAACACAGCTAAAAGAACTCATTATCAGTGTCACAGGTGTTTACCACATATGCTTGTCAAGTTAATTTTACCGAGCTCTGACGTTTAATTCACCCGACAAGATCCACTACTCCCGCACGAGTATCATGTAAAAAACCTATAAAACATCAAAAAAACCTATATAAGATGTCAACTTGCACACTAGGTAGTTTTTAGGGCGCAAACAGTCATTCCACGTTTGCTCACCAGGATCGTTGTGAACATCCACCTAAGGAGGAATCACTCACTAAACTACACGCATTATTGGTTGCATATGTTTTGTGAGGCCAAATGGTCCTTGTCTGTAGCTTTTATCTCTGAGAAGAAAGTTGGTTGAATAGCAAGATCGCATCTGGATGATTATGTGTATTAGTCTGCATGTGTATAAAGTCAGTGATATTTGCTGTGTGGGAAAATCATTACTGAATATGCTGCCAATGAAGTATATCTATTGGCTGTGTGTTTATATGTTGTGATTTGTGAAGAGAGGTGATGTTCAAAGCTATAGATTACGTAAAACTGAGGAGAATTACGGGAAATCATCACTGCGCCCGCGTTATGTGTAATTACTGTTAGCATGTATATGGCTTGTAATTCGACAGTGTACAGTGAATTTAATTATCTTTCTCATTTTTGAAATTCAGCAAATTTGTATATTTAGTAGTAGTAGTAGAAAGATTTATTTAGCTTTAGCACATTTGGCTACATAAACAGAATAATTGTAAACAACTTAGAACTAGTAAATTCAGGCCATATGGTGTATGATGTAAAATTTTACTTTAAATTTTGTCAAAGTTTTCTGGTCTTTTATCTCTGAGTATAATTTATTATATTCAATCAACCCTTGATGGAATACAGATTTGTTGCATATGTTATACTTTTTGGTCATTAAATGGAAGTCATCTTTATTTCTGGTATTATGTAAATGATGGTCGACATTTGATGATGTTAAATTAGTTGAAATGATGGAAATATACTAAGTGACATATAAATCCGAACACCCAGTTTAAACGGTTTTATTTTAATAAAATTTTGTATAAGTACTTAATGAAGCATAATAAGTAAATGATAAAAATTTCAAAATGATTGCACTGCTTTAAAGCCCTTTGACCTCTAATAATGTGTGGATGCACCCTGATGTGCTACGCACTCTCCAACGCGCCTAGGCATGCTTCTGATCAGGTGGTCAATGTCCTCCTGTGGTATCTCATTCCAGGCAACCACCAACTCCTCTCGAAGTGCTTCTAGAGTCTGAGGAGGACGTTGCAAATTGAGCAATCTCCTACCCATCGTATCCCACACGTGCTCAATTGGGGACAAGTCGGGAGATCTTGGTGGCCATGGTAACAATGTGACATCATTATGTTGAAAGAAGTCTATTGTGACTCTTGCAACATGTGGTCGGGCATTATCTTGTTGGAACGTTGGATCTGCCAGGGTGTCAAGATAGGGTAAAAGATGGGGTTCTAGAACTTCGTGGATATAACGCTGCGCGTTCATGTTACCTCTGATGGAGATTAAAGGTGACCTGGAACCATAAGCTATGCACCCCAAACCATAACTCCAACAGTGTGATGAACATGTCTTTCAACAAAAAACTGTGGATTCCTCCTTTCACCACGTCGCCTTCTAACCCTGGCACGACCATCGTGCATGCCTAAATAAAATCGAGACTCGTCACTAAAGACAATACTGTTCCATTCCTGATCCCAGAGTGACCGTTGTCTGCACCACTCAAGGCGATTACGTCGGTGTTCTAGAGTTAAATGGAGGACCCAGTGTGGCCGGTATGAAAACAAGCCAAAGCTTCTCATTCGTCGGTAAACACGCCGCATGCCAATAGGTCTTCCGTGTTCTGCAAACCATTCATTTGCAATGGACCTGGTAGTGGAGAAACGGTCCCTTAAGGCGAATAATCTTAGGCGGCGATCTTCACGGTCTGTTGTTCTACGGCGGCGTCCAGTGCCCCTTGCTCTTTGCGTACGGCCTTCTCGAAGCCATGCCTGACAACACCTAAGCACAGTGTCTACACTTCTTTGCACTCTAACTGCAATTGCCCGAAAAGAAAGTCCAGCTTCCCGAAGTCCCACTATACGGCCCCTATCAAACTCACTAAGTTGACGAAATCGTACAGGTCTCCGTACTCTAGGCATCGTAACCGATCGTAAAGGATGTCAAGAACCAAAATCCGCCAACGTTGATTCTTTACTGCGGCTGAAATATTCATGTTTAGAGCGTTAGTGAATTAAAAAAAAAGCAGTATAAAAACCGGAATGTCCAACTGATAAGGCTGAAAATTTTTTCACTTGTTATTTACAGTAGGATAAATACATTCACCAACTTTTATTAAAATAAAACCATTTAAACTGGGTGTTCGGATTTATCTGTCACTTAGTATAATTGTATTCGAATGGCGGTATCAAATTATACTCCAGACATTAAGAAAGTTGTCAGTTAGTCTGAGTGTCAGACTGCTTATTGAACACGCATTTTTTTATCTGGACATGTTTGTTTAAAATAGTGCGTTGCTTTTTTCATTTTTTGACGAAAAATTTTGTTTATTTTTCAAACACCTACGTTTGGTAGGAATGGATGTAGTTATGTAGTATTTATTGGTTTATTTAAGTTTATCATTATGTATTAGTATTAGTAAAATTAACACATGTATGTCGCATACAGCTGTGTATAATTTCATTTAAGTTGGCTTACATTGCTTACGACTAGGTAGCTCACTGTTTATTCCAAAATTATCAGAGTAGCCCAACACACTAAAATTGTTGGCGACCACTGCCATAGGGCATAAAGGCATCTATCGGCTAAAAAGTGGACCTCCCAAATAACCTATTTATAAAGTACAAGTCAAAAACTCCTAACTTACCTCAAAGGTAAGCACGATCTGCCGACAAACTTCAATCGATGCACAGCTCTTGATGTAGTCGTTGGGTAGACAAGCATCCAATAACTCTTGCAACTCAAACGCGTTCACAGCCCTATGTTCGTCGGCCAGCTGCAAGAACACAGCTTCGTACTGACTAAAACTCTTCCCGTCGAGTAATGGAGGTGCTTTCACTATGGCCGATTTCAGAAGAAGCGGGATGGTGTCCAGCAGCTTCAGTTTCAGCGGTTTACTGGAATACACACGGAGGGTGAAGCCCGATTCTTGTCCAGGCTCGAAGGTCGTTGGCATTATCAGGTAGCCGCCTTGCTCCAACTGGCATCTAAAATAAAAATAAAATGGATAGGGATCTATTATACAGGAAATACAAAATAAAAAATGCGGTCAAGTAAGTTGACCCTGTACTTATGTATAGCAAAAAATTAAATGATCTTCCTCCTTCCCATGAACGCTGCGATGACCATCATGCACAGTGCACACACCCCTCAGCGGTGCGGAAGCGATTGCCGACTGTGACGTATGACCACCGTCAACGACGCTCGTCCAGCACGGCATTTCGTAGTGACAGCTAATAGATATACTTCTTTGGCAGCATATTCTGTAATAATTTTCTCACATAGCAAATATCACTGATTTTATACACCAATATACAAAATCATCCAGATGCGATCTTGCTACTCAACCAACTTCCTTTCTTCCTCATCTCAGACTATGGTCTACTCGGCTTCACAAAACATACGAGCCCCTTCCCACTTCAGTTTGCCCAGTTCAAGATTTGTACCAAAATATGCCTTTATAAACTAAACATGATGAAACTATTTACTTCTAAAACAATTTATTTTCTCAAAAACATTTTAGATACACTCTAGTCGTAAAAAATACACTTAGACCTATAACTAATAGAACATCTGAACAAATAAACAATGTGCGAATAAATGCGCGAAGTTAACAAAGCAACAATTGAAAGATTACCAATGGGTAACATCACCTTTATTTTTTATTACGGCTGAAATTCTTTGGGGCATAGTGTTAACCAAGTTTTGGCAAAAATTTGCGGTAAAACAATCCCATATTTCTTGAAGCTTTTGTCTCAGTTCGGTGATTGTACGAGCAGGATGTTGTCGTAGAACCTTTTTCACCTCGTGCCAAAAAGTTTCAATAGGTGACAGATCTGGACTGCTAGAAACCCATTTCAAAAGTGGCACATTATTTTCTTCCATCCATTTTATAGCCTTTTTGAGGTATGGCACGCTGCACATGCTGCAAATCTTGGCCGGATGTCAAACATTCTTCCATCACCGGTAAAAGCGATTCTTCTAAAATTGCCAAATATTTATTTGTATCCACATTTCCATCAATAAAATGAAGTTTTCCTACTCCTTTTGATGACATACTGCCCCAGACCATAATGGATGCTGGAAATATCACTTTACTCTTCAGACAGTCAACATGGAAGGCTTCATTTTTTTGCGAATAACTCTACTGCGACTGTCACCAACACAAACTCATCACTCCATTGTATTGCACACCATTGCTGAGGTGTCCATTGTCTATGTTGTTTGGCCCATCTAAGCCGATTTTTCTTTTGCAGTGGAGTTAATAGTGGCTTTTCTTTGACCTATAAACAAGTTGTGCAACTTTAAGGTTTTTACTTCACTTTTTTTTATAACTTTGCAAGTGCTAAATCCCAGTTTGTGGGCCTCTCCATGAGTTGTGGACCTCGAAATTCTCCTTCCAACAGCGTCACTCCACAGAGCACTTAATTGTAAATAATTGACACGCCTGTTTTTCACGATTATTCTTCTTAATGCTCTTCGGTCGACATTTGTGATATTACCTTTTTTCACATATCGTGGCTTAATATTAACTGAACCAGTTACGTTATATCTTCTAACAATATTTCTCACACTGTACCACGATAAGTCTAACAAAGTTGCAATTTCTGAGTTTGATTTCCCAGACTTAAAAAATTTAATTATCAGTAACCGAATTTTCTCACTAATAACCTTTCCTCTACCCATTTTGAAAACCTTAACTACCCAAAACTATTTTAAACGTATTCTGACAGCTGTGATTAATAAAAACAATTGTCATGGCTTTTATTATTCACAGCCACCTATGCGTTATAGACTTATTTTGCATTGAAATGAAAATAGGTTGATATGCTGTATGTGCTATTTTTATGCTGCAAATTTGATTAGGGAGTGATAAAGTTGGGGTTTTCTACTATATATTATCAAAATATTCATTGTTAATATTTTAAACCTATAACACCTTGCTACATTTTTATTATTTGTGTTTGATACGAAAAAAGATTTCAATAGTTGGGCCAACTGAAGTGGGAAGGGGCTCGTATACTTGCTTTCTGCAACCATCAATCCGTGTAGTTGAGTCATTCCTCCATAGACAGACGCTCACAGCTATCATAGCAAGCAAACGTGGAATGAACTATTTGCACCCTAAGAACTACCTAGACTGCAAGATGACATTTCGTCTGTCTTTTTTACATAATACCCTTGTGGCACTTCCCAAGTTATAGAGGGGTCAAGGATTACTTTCCCATCGGTAGGCGTGTGAAGTAAAATTACTGGTCGTTCTCTATAGTACTTACACGGTCCTGAGCAACTATCATAGTTCCTTTTGCATTGATTCTTACCTACTAGGAACATGGACGTCAAAAAATTATGTACTTTTCCCGTCCTCCTGGGTAAGGTGAATACGTATGACAGTTTGTTAGGGATTTTAATTAAAATAATATCGTATAAACTGAACAAAGCTACCCTCACTGGTATCGTATTCTGAATATTATTCATAGTTTCACCGATAGCATACATTTCAGCAGTCGGTATTCGGTTTGTTCGTACAGTGGTCGGTGACTTGTCGGTGACAGTGTCTGGGATCCGGACTTGTAAGTTCTGTCTATATGGCTTAGCAGAATAAACGGAATTTGTGTGGCGGGACCTTGGACCCGATTACTGACAGCTTGGCGACAGCTGTACGAACAGGGCTTTTATCTATCCACAGTATTGCACAAATTAAATGATGTTTGTTTTGCTTTTTCAGACTAGGATCCTTCATTTGTTTTTATCATATTGTGATAAATACTACTGTTGGCACCATCTGTTTCACATGGCCAATCTCTGCTTTTACGCGAACCACGACCGCACAAGCCGCTTGGCGGCGTCTGTGAGGAGCGTGACAGTGGATCGCCTTCTAGATCGACGCCTTCTAGATGCCGCTTTTTAGTTCACCAGACCTTTCTCGAAGCAGCAATGGGGACTATATATAACTCGGAGGCCGGGAGATGGAAGCAGAGTACAGATTACAACAGAGCAGAGCGGAGTGGAGTATAGTGCAGTCATTGGCGCCACAATAATTTGTCAGACATAAATAGTGGTAAACTGCTGTCTTGATTCGGGTCTAAAGACCGTCGTCGGTTGGAATTTCTTCCTAACGTTTCGCTAGCACGAGTGGCAAGCTTCTTCAGAGGTCCTTCCAATTCCGATGATGGACGTAGGCTGCCTTAACCAATTTGTCATAAATAGTGGTGTACATAAATTTTCTATCAAGTTAAATAAATTAGTGCCTTCCTTTTCGTGGAATCCAGTATTTTAATCCACACCCAAAAGAACCCAGAAAAACGCTACAATATTTACTATACATTATCTGTAGCAAAATAACAATTGTCACAAGAAAATCAGGATATGGGCGAATAGAATATACAACTTGATCTATCCGCTTTGCCCAGCGTCACATATTGTGGAGTTTTTCCTTTTTCTATCGTAACCATCGATCCATTTCTCCTCTTTCTAATGACTGCTAAAGTCCGCTGAACAAAACGTTCGATACCCTAAGAAGCCGTTAATACAGACAGTAAAAATTGGCAAGTTTAAGCAAAACACCTTTCTGCAAAATCAGTTGTTACTAGAAGAACATAATTTATTGTCTGGTAGCCACATTGTCATTCGGATTCTCTCACAATTGATCACCGCTTATTAAATAATGTTTGACGAATATACGAGGTCTGTAAGTTAAGTCATAAAACTGATTCTTTTATTTAATCTGATACTGAAACAGCCTTCAACTGGTCGCTTACAGCCGTATGCATGTTTTCGACTGTCCCAACATCAGTTCTATTGAGGTGATTTTTCAACTTTCACAAGGACACAAGTCAGGCGAGTATGGTGGCTGAGGAGCCACATTAATGTTTTTACTGGCCAGAAACACGTTTATTGTCATTACTGTGTGGCAAGGAGCATTATCTTGATGCAACACCCAGTTGTTCCTGATCTCCTCTCCAAGCCCAGCGCCTCCAGTGTTGCCAGATCGAACAATACGTGGCCAGTCTCATTACTTAATTTACAGACCTCGTTAATTGAGTAGGTAGCATAAATATGTACCATAAATTTAACAGACGGTTCTTTGAATAGTTTTAAGATAAAGTTCATATAAACATAGGTCCACAAATTCTTCGTTCTCAAGATAGAGGGTTTTAAAATTAATAAAAAATTCCTAAATTTATTAAATATTCTTAACCTAATCTTGTTGTTATCTGGCAGTGGTATTTATAACATTAAGAAGCTAATTTAGCCTCAACTTGATTAATATTAGGTCCAATGGCGTCTCGAGCAGGATATATGGAATCAAGAGGAACTACCAGATGAATGGAAAAACGCCGTAATCTGCCCAATACACAAAAAAGGTGATAAAAGTTCATGTGAAAACTATAGAGGCATTGCCCTGTTAGACACTGCATATAAGATACTAGCATTTCAACTAAGGGACAGATTGAGCATATATGAAAATGAGGTTATAGGTGAATATCAAGGAGGTTTTAGAAGGGGCAGGTCCACAATAGACCAAATATTTACAATGAAACAGCTGTTCTATAATAGCTATGAACAAAATCTTGGTTTACATGCATTATTTATTGATTTCAAGCAAGCGTATGATTCCATTGACAGAGAAAAATTATATGAAGCTATGAGACTGCTGGGACTACCAAGTAAACTGATAAGGTTAGTCAAAATGACAATGAACCGGACAATGAACAAAGTCACATTGGAAGGGAAAACATCTAGAGCTTTTGGCGTAACGAGAGGCCTGAGACAAGGGGACCCGCTATCTACAACATTGTTTAACTTTACGCTGGAAGCTATTTTACGTAATTGTGGTATACAAACCGACGGAGTTGTTTACTATAGAAAACATCAGTTGATTGCTTATGCCGATGATATAGCAATAATAACCAGATCCAAAGCAGAACTTGAGAAGACGTTTAGAAGGTTAGAAGAAACTGCCAAACGTTTTGGGCTTCATATA